ATTCACGTCATGGGAAATGAAAGCGTATAGATATACACCAATTTTAGAGATTCTCTGCACGATGCATTGGCTCTCATGAGAACTACAGTAACTTCATATGAGAAACACGGAAACGCAGTATTGTAACGATGGTACCTATAAACTATTTTGTACTACAATTATCTTTACTGATTTAGATTTCAAAATTCATAATCATTGAATTATTTTTGTACATAATATTATAAACATGTACAGGATACTTATTTCTTTTTTAGATTATGCAATAATATTTAAAACATTATAAATAAATTTTATGTAAATCTATTCTTATTTAAGTTCACTATTCTATTTATTTACAAGTCTTAATCGCGTGAAGAATTTAATTCCGCAGTCAGTGCGGTCTCGTTATTGCCAAAAAACTGTTTTTTATTACAAACCATATCTTGTACAGTTTCTGGCACGTTGACACATTTCTGTTGAGATGATTTCATACATCGATCTCGTTTATCTAAAGATAGCGTCACTAGTGTATGGAATATAACACTTTTTGTTTCCAACAAGTGTTCATTGTTTAATACATCGACTTTAGAGTTGAAAGTGGCTTAGCTGTGTCATTTATTTAGTTGCATTTTCGATTAAGTATTTCGAGATGTAAAGGTGTGAATAAAGATAAGCCTCTTCAAATTTGGCCTTTTTATCTTGAAGGGCTAATCGTGAATAGTGTGATGTATCATAAAAATCAATACATGTATGTTTTTTATTTACAGTTTTAGACAAAAGTTTACACCAAATATAAACCTTTTTCTTTAGCATAGCATCTTCAGGCCGAAGAAGTGGATTCGATTCCCACAGCGCCGACAATCTTTTCGTACTTTTTGTATAAATTTTAATCTTCAGGCCAATTGTAAAGTATCATTCGCCGCGTTTTATTGACAACTTCTCGAACTTCTCCAAATCAACAGCTACGCCGCATGTCTAATGAGGTTTAAATATCATAACCCATAAGCCCGTTAATCAGAGTCATTTATTAATTGTCTTTTTTTAATATCCCGATTTCGGTAGAAACGGAAAGGTTAGCAGATTCACGAAATGAAACGCAAAGTATGAAAACGCAATACTCCGGTATTCTGTGATGCAACAGTAAATCCTAATTGATTCTAATACTGAAATAAAATCCAAACGGAATTGAATAAAAGTTCAGTTCCACTAAACTATTCACGTAAGAGCCGTGTGAATGTAGCGAGGGGATGGGGAAGAAAGGTTCTCAAATGGCAGCCACGTATTAGCCATCGCAGTGTAGGCCGACACCCCCATTACATGGAGTAACGATCTGTGCAAATGTAAGGGAAGTCGAGGGATGCAGGTGGCTCAGGATCGTGCTTCTTGACAGTTTGTGGGGGCGGCGCGACGTATATCTTCAGCACTGAGCAGGCTCACATGATGATGATGATGATGATGAGGTGATTATTACATTTACATCCCTATAAATGTTACGCCATAGTAAAAAACAATGAATATTCTATAAAGCAAACGAACGAGTCGAAAAGTGATAAGGGCACGCTACTATCACATTCAATATCCGTTGAACTTTCGCCCTTTTAATAAAACAATGGGAACCGATAAGAGGGAGGAACATAAATTCACTTTACATAATTGATATGAATATTGCTGCGGAATATATGAATGTTTTCTGTTCTTTTCTCTTCGGAAGTTTATATCTTTATTCATCATAACAATAACTATACGTTAAACTGTCAGCGTTTAATTGTAACGAGTTAGAAAAACGCCCCCGACGACTGGTAACGGCTGAACTGAGAATAGAGGGTATGTATACTACGGCATGATCTACTACACGACCATATTGTGGATCTACAATCCCTCTCTCAATGGTTCTGCCAATGCAGACATGACAACATAATAATCGTAAATTTTTTGTCGAAAATATGCACTTATCCTCCCGGTTTTTTCCTTAATTTGATAACTTTTACTTAACTCCTTAACTTAATGATCGTTGAGAACTTAAAATTGGAATTAGTAATTTCACCGATGTCAGGATATAAACTCCAATTGCTCGAGTATAATTTAAGGGAAACGCCCGGACACTGAGTTATCACGAGTCTAGTAATAGCACTCACATGAAATTAATTAATTTGCCACTCCAGGGACATTAACGTATTTAATGCTATAGCGGCTAATTCTTCACAGACTACAGCTGTAAGTTAGCTAATGCGGCCCCTCGCACTAATTTAGTCCCAAATTGACAGCTGGCAAACATACTCGCCGGCCGCCGCACGGTACGCTAGGCTCCAATAGAAAATTGCCTTTTTTATATTTCAAAAATCCGAAGCATTTTGGACCTAATCACATTCTAACATATCACTCACTCATAATTTTTAGACCTGTTAAATTATTATGCCACACAACAGTAAGGAAAAAAGTTACAAAAAGTGTAGTCAATGTCAAAAAAAGAAATTTAGTCTAACTGTTGTGGTTCTAATCTTTATATAAGAGAAGACAATCTATAATATGTAAAGTTGTGGTCCCTTTTTAAGAATATTATGGACACGGAGGAATGCAATAAATAGCATAGTTAATTTTCAACGGAGAATTGGAGAAAGCTAAAATTTATGTATGCTCATGTCTTCCGGATTCGATAATAATCTGTCAAACAGGTGCGGGGAGTAAAGATTGCTAGCAAAGAATTAAAAAATGTCAACTTAATTGAATGCCCGAGGAAAATAATCATTCAATAAATTCTTAATTTAATGAATTACAGTTGAATTTAGTCCAATAGGCCTTCTAATATGTTCTTGTAATACATCGCACACCGGCAAGAGGCCCAAACCGGGCACAAGTTACATAATACAAAAAAAAAATGGTCTCTTTGACAAAACCTCATCAGTACATGTGTGAATACACAGCCTTAATATCATCCGGTAAAGATTAACACAGACTTAACATTTATTTACAATGCATACGTCGTTATTATGCGAAACCACGTATACATACATTCGAAAGCTAAAAACAAGTGGTGTGAACATATCGGAGTCTCATATAATCGAGTACAGACCAAATACAATCGTTCTGCTGTCTTCGAAGTCATCACTTGCGTGCATATTTATAAAAAAGAACTAACTTACTAAACTGGTTAATGGCCACTCTCGATTCATAATTCTCGTCGGTTTCGCTTTCTACACGAAAGCAAGAACGGATGCATTTAAAACGGCGTCGACTCGGTGCGGTGATCCCGTTATCTAGTGGGGTTCGATTGCTTGTATCGATAATTTCTTTATAAACATCCCTATTAAAAACATTGAACCTGCATGACTTTTTTTTAATTTTGATTAGGTCAAATTCATAATATTACGAACCGCTTATGAACCCTCATGAACGCTTACGCTTATGATATAAAATGTTCCACCGGCATATAAAATTGGATTTGCCCAGAGAGGAACTGGCAGGAAAAATTTAGAACATTTAATTTTTTTTTAAAACGGCATGATTGTTTTTATTATCTCCTTTTTCCAGGTTGCCTGAAAGAAATCGCTTTTTAGCGATAAGTTCACACCTATTGTACATATTTGTATTATTTGTTGTTGTGTATTCAATATCAGGTGTAGTGTACAATAAAGAATATTTCATTCATTCTTATTTCACTCATGCCTCGTCAGTTTGTTCCCGGGACCGAACGACATGTGCCTTTGCGTTCGTTTGATTGGAGCGTCTACCTTTTCCGGTACGGGCTGTGACATCACGATCGAAGCGTCACACCGAACTGGAAGCGAAAATTACCAGTGTGAATGTTAGGTGCGATTTAAATTGCATATTAGCCGATTTTACATTGCTAAAAGTTTCCACGGCACGTAAGCTGGGAAGGTCAGCTTCGGTTATAAATAAAGACGGATTTCATTATAACATTAATATAAATGAAGTCCATAGACATGGATAAAAAAAACAAAATTTTTAAAAGGATTGTCAACTCAAGCAAATACTTAGAATGTGTTGTTAAAAATACTCAAATGTTTTCTTTTCTTTTTGAGAAATCCAAGTAAGTGATTATTTATTGAGAAATTTCGTCAGAATGCTTATAAATTTAATGCAACCTTAAAAAAAAAACTCATACGTCCATAATGGTAAACGGGTCTTCATTAACAATTTTGGATTTGGATGGTTTCACTTCGCCAGCCAAAGTGGATTTTATATTTCCTATATGCGTTTTTCCATAAAAACACACATGATGTTACAATAGACAGTTACCGAATTTAGCAATTTAGCTGCATTGTCAATATTGAGGCTTTGTTAACCACAATCACGCATTATTTCAACTTTAAAGTAATGTGTACAATTTTATTCTAATTTACCTACGTAAAATACCCTTAAACATCGCTTTTTGTACGCTTAATGGAAAGAACACGACAAACTAACTATATTGAAACAATTTACTAAAAGCGCTGGGAATGCGTTTTATTTAACATGTCTAATGTTGAAACAATTAATGTGCGGAAGTTTATGTTAATTACTAATTGACATCGTTAACATTATTAATGTCAGTGTCAACGTGGCCATTGCGCTTACTAATTCTAATAAGAACTTAATGCTCTTTAGGTGCCTATGTTCTACAATATTTGTACAAAATTTATGGGCATAATTTTGTAAAGAAATTATGAATGACATAAAGTCTTACTTATAGCAAAGGTTTCATCTTAAGAATACAGAACAACGTTTTGCAATATATTTGCGTGTCAGATAATCAGGTTTGTACCTTCGCGAAAATCACGTGTGATTTCGCATCGTTTTAGACAGTATCCATAAGAATTTAGTCACTGAATAATCCACTAACTAGTACGGACGTATTAAATGACAGTGCGCAATCATTAATTAACGAACAGAACTGTCAATTCAATTGGCGACACTTTTGTTTATAAATAAAAGCTTCACACGGATTCGCGGCGCTCGACTGTAGGTTGGCAAATACAAAGCAGCGCAATAATACGTCCGTTCGCGACGAGATCGCGACGTTACTGCCAGCCAGCTAGCTGCGTATCGACCTCCGCTATGACAATGAATGGAGGGCCAGCCCCGCAGTATCGCGCTGCAAGCTCACTACTGCACTGCAGCTTTATTTCTGGCATCGCATCCCGTTGCCACTCGGGCCGCTCGCTTTGACACGGTACGTTGGAAACCGTGCCAACGACGAGGCGGGAGCGTGTCACGACGCTGACCCGGTTCCCCTGATGGCTCCGACCTCCGAAAACGTGCATACGCGGTAACAGAAGCGAAACATGGTGTTTGGAGATTATGCTGCGGTCACATTGAACGAATACGCATGCGTGGCTGGCGACGCAGCAGCCGCTGGCAGATGGAGTGGCCTTGCTCTCACATTAACCGTCACCCCGACTTGTTAGATACAAGGGACCTCTAGAGGTTAAGAGTGCATGGTCGTCGAAGCAAGCATACCCAACAAACGTCCCCGCACAGCAATCTTTTATTTAACCGTTCAAGGAAAATACAAACTCTTAACATTTTATACGTTGTAGTTTAATATTTTCAACCAAATTGATATATGAAAGTTACGGAAATGTTTTATTTTAAACGGTTTTTACTGAAAGATAATGCACATTTTATTGTTGGATTTTTTTATTTTATTTAGTATATCTCATAATACACACACTAAAGGTACAAAGACAATTTCATTAATAATAAGCTCAATAGAGTCAGGAGAGTCCAAGGCAAAAAATAACTAGGTAGAACCCACATTAATACAATTGTTCAATAACTTTTGAATCGGGACTACGAAATCAATATGTGTAAGTATTCAAAACATGAGATGGTGTTTATCAATCAATTTTATTCAATACTCTTGAAGTTCTATAATTGCCTTAATTAAGTTTAACAACAGGAACCATTACGAAATATTATAGTTAACACGGATTTAAAAATAACGCGGTATTCACCGCGTCGGGCCACGACTATTCATTGTCAAGGGCAGATTTATTTATATCGTGATTGACTAACTACAACAGCTAAATGAAATCAACACTGTTATCATAGTGCATATTTAATAAGTAGATATGATTGATATGCAAAATCAATTCAAATATGTTATTCCCAGCTTTTTCTTAATTTTTTAAACTATTTTGGTTTTAAATATATTTACGGTGCGTTATTTTTATTAAATAAATGTGTGTAAAGATGATACTTGTTTAAAACAAACCACTTTCACTTAGGCGATTAACTTTTAGAAATAAATTTCCAAAGAGCTTTTAGGCTTAAAAACGATTGTGTGCTAATTTAAGTTTGTTAATTATTTTATCATTTAAAAAGCATTAAATATACCTTGAACGAGTCCATAAATATCAACTTTTATGTTATTTGTGTTGATATCCATAACTGAAAAGAATAGTTATCAGTAAATTGATTTGCTTTCAATTTAATAAGGTTATCTAAAAAAAAATTTTTTTAAGGATTTCCTTTTTGTGTCTTGTGTTTGTGGTGTTCGCCTGTAAATGTTCGTCACATATGTAAGTAAATATGATTTAAGTTTCATCTTTTTAACGTTTAATAATGAAATGTGAACGAACGTTGGTGAACCTGTTGAATAAATAAATAAATAAACAGACACACATCACCACGAGCAACCTGAATCAATGTGTGAAACCATGTATATCTATGCAAAAACCAAATATATTATTTGCTAATACTTCTTTTGGCGCGATTGGAAAAATATGAGATTAAAACGTTTAAACGTTTTCGTTTTAACGGTGATAGAGCCACGCTACAGTCTTCGATGTTGTAAGAACGGGCAGGTTCGTCCGGGTAAGTACCACGACTTCACAGAATACCGGCGTGAAGGGGAATTATAATACTTTTGCGTTCCGTCTGGTGAGTGAGGTAGCCGGAGCCCACTTTATTAAAAGGTGGCAACGCATTTGCAACCTTACAGGTGCTGGAAATGTCCATGCGCGGCGCTTGTCACTTACCATCGGGTGAATCGCCAGCTCGCTTGACAACTACTCATAAAAAAAAAGCTTGAAGAAGTTTGTTGCAAAGCAACGGACTTAACGGTATTATCATGGCAACCAATAACACCTCTTTGACATTTACCTATAATTACCTATAATAAAATAAAAAAAAAAAAAAAAAAAAAATAAAAAAAAATTCCAAATTAAAACCGTTAACAATGGCATTTAATATGTTTTAACAAACAAAGACCTGCCCCACCACAGGGGATAAAATTTTAGTTATTTATATTTTGTTACGCTGAAGACATATCTTTTTACTTGTGTACATGGCACTTTTTTCCATCACAACACACACACTTTTTTTCCATCTTACTCACAATTTTTGTCAAAAATAAAAATCACTTATTCTCTAAACTCGTAGTCATGGTGCACAATGTATGTATACATTTACATATAATTTAATGTACATTAAAAGTTGTTCCGTAATAAATTATCATTTTGAGATTTATTTGAGTTAAAAGCATTTGGTGAATGTGATTTCATACAAATAATTCCTGTTACGTTACTGAATTAGAGGTGACTCGTCCATCGCCATTTCGGTGACAATCAGCGTCCACCTCAGCGAAGGAAGCGCGCCATTTATAGCAACTATTTTAAACTGTCCAACCCACAGCGCTGAATGCGTGGGCTTTCAATGAGGTACGCTATTCATACGTATTACCTTTAGAGATTTCTTACAGTTGCTTATGAATGATATAATACACGCATTGACAGACAAAAAATTGAGCACTGTTTTCTTATTCATACTTGTTTGATCAATGAAACGCATTACCGTTCTTGACTTAATTGATATTAAGTAGTAAAGATACATGTAGTTTATGATTAAAGTGAGTTATTTATCTCATCGCAAGAATAGATCTTCGCAATTCGGTTGTATTATTGTTTGTTATCTCAAAATTCCTTCATTTATGAACCGATTTTAAAAATTCTTTTTGAATTGAATTCGCTTTAACTCCTACGGGCTCCCATTATAATTTTATTGGTGTTGGACCTTGGACACCGATGATACATCAGAAAAAAGAAAAGCCACCTAAAAAAATTATAAATTGTATAGTCAGTGAGATATTTGAAGTAGGTTTCGTTTTTTTGATAATAAAAATGTCATTATTTAATATTTTTGAAATGGTCCAACGTTTTGCAGTAAATACTTCTTATGTTCAAGTTACGCTTTATTTCACTCGTCCACATTTTGTGATTATTCCGAGAAACTTTTAAACCGCTATCGCCTAGACACTAAACACAGAATTAATAAAACACTCGTCTTCATTACTGCGGGTAATAAATTTATTCGAAAGTAGGTTTAGTATTTCCGTTTTTAAACGCGCGACCGTCAATCTTTTTGCGGTGTTTTGATAAGACGCCGTTTGAAGAACTGCTAGTGTCATTGTAATCATGTTATAATGTCATTGTACAGTTATAATATGTTGCATATATACGCAAAACTCACTGTCACCGTTCTGTGATCGGTATTGGACACAATCAGCACACCAATGATACGACCCAGAATACGATTCATGGGCGGCGGTAATCACTTACCATCAGGTGAGCTTCCTGCTCCTTTGCCTCTTTTCTCCATAAAAAAAGAGAATCAATATAGCTGGTATGCGACGACGGCATGATGACCCTGAAGAGTGTATGCCTTCGATAATCTCACTCACCGGACAAAAAGGTACAAGTGATTTTACTTCACGACAGTCTTCTGTGAATACTAATACTGTGTTACTTCGAGCTATAGTTCAACGCACCGTGTGCACCAGGATCTTTTATAAATGCTATAGTAAATTAAATGTTTTATAAGTATGTGTCTGTTTCCATTGTAATCGTTGAATTCCGGATTATTCAAGAGCTGGATTGGCTAATCCAACGTCATAGAATTTACTTTCTTTTAATGGAGACGACTTCAGAATCCAAAGGCCTGTAGTATTTACTATCTGCTTGGTCCAGGCGGCTTCACATCCAAATAATTTGTCAGATAGACAAAACAGGTATGCTTTGCTACGCTCTATCATGGGCCTAGTTAAAAATCATTTGATTTCAGAACGAACAATTCAAATCATAATCACACAGTACATCGAATATAACCGTAGCTATGTACAACCATAAGAACAAATTTTGCCGATTCGAAGCGATAGTAAAACTCGATTGCAGAATATAGCGCCATCTTCCAGAAACATCAGTACAATATCTCTTCGGGTCAGTTACCAGTCGACAATACAAGCTGTACGTTCAATAAAGAAATTGCTTTGAAGCAGCGCAGTACAAAGCGAAATGAATAGGTAGTTATTACTAAATGAGCGAATTACGCAAATGGTGTCAATAGGCCTTTTTTCGTGTGCAATCAATATTGTATATCAGTATAAAAAATAGATCTCAGGCTTTAAAAACTTCTACTTTAAATGCAATTGTTTTATACGAACCGTTCATTGAAATTTCTTCTTTATTCGATACCATACAGAGTTACATACTATTTATTGGGATCAATTTGGAATAAGTCTTTAGTCGCGAATATTTTTAGTTGTGGAATCATTTCATTCATAATCATTTCCAGACCGATACGACTTAGGGACCTTCAAGAAGACCGCATATTCTTCTCTCAAAGGCCGGCAATTCATTTTTAACTCCTCTGAAGTTGCGGTGATGAACACTTACCATCAGGTGCTTACCTTTACAAGCTTTTTTCATAATAAAATTAGCTACTTTAAATCAGGTTGACTGGTAGAGAACACCTAATGGCCTAATGGTGCTATGTCTGCCATTATACGCGTTCAAAAAGTTTTTGAATAAATTAAATAAACTTCATAAAATTTAATGCAAGCAAACTAAGACGTAAAGGCTTAAGACAACATAAGCTTTTATAAGGGCATAAAGGTTCCCTTGACCATAAATGCTGTAAAGTGTTCTAAGCTTCGGAAACCAAAATATTAAAAATTTGTAGCAGTTTTTTTTAAACATTGCCCTTACTTTAGGACAACATTATCCTGTGTTGTTCTACAAACATAAATTTCACGTGTTTATTTACGTATATTGAGATTATATACATCGCATAAGCAATGTACTTATATGCGTAAATATTAAGAGACTGGATAGTCATTTAAATATCAAATTACGTAATAAATTTAAATAATGTATTCTCTAGCATTTAATGGTTGATGACGTTGTATTACAGTGATGTAACATGATGTAACAATCCATTAGCTAATTAGTAGTTATCGTTAGGTATATACATTAATATAGATAGC